AAATTCTAATAAACAATTCAAATTATTTATTAACCCAATCTTCACAATAAATGTTCCATTATCAAGTTGAAAACATGATCTTTCTCTTATCATTAAGAAACTAGATTCCGAACAATTCATATTAAATATTTCAAAGATATTCGGGTTTCGAATAAGAGATTGTGTAGATGTAATTGATTGGAATTTTAGAATATCCACCATTTGTTGTCCAACTAATACTTGAATAAATTCATAAAAATCATCGTTCTTTAAAGAAAAAACATTATCTGGCAATCTATCATCCATAAGAAGAAAACGATCGATTTTTTATCTAGAAAACCAAATGTGTTCAGACATAATAGTTTATAATAAGTTTGGAAACAAAAATCTGACATATTTTTCAAACACTTCCAGCTGATAAACAACTGTGATGAGTCACATGTCGGTAATCTGAAGAAAACATCCATCATTTGAAAGGATGGAATGTTACAAAAAATTGAAAAGTACTAGCTACGCTTGTATAGAGAACATCACTTTAGAAGCTATTGGCTCATAATATTCATGAATCATTAAACCTTTCTCGCTTGCTCTCTCTCTCTCGAGAGAGAGAGCGAGAGAGAGAATTTTATTTATACAAATATAGTTAATATTTTAATATGTTTCAAACAGAAGCTCTTATTGATACATCAATTTTGCCATCTGATATCATGTTATTACGTGACGTTAAATTTTTTGATTTTGTTCGAAAAGAAGCTGGTGATGCTGCTGTTGATCTTTTTGAAATTCAAAGTATCAATTGTGTTAAATCTTTGTTGATGACAGCTGATGTTTATTGTATTATGAATTTGAAAAGCAAAGCTTTAGATTGTTTTAAAAATAAACATGGTTTTATGCTTGATGATGATACATTCATTATAAAACCTGGTATAAAAGGAAATGTAGACTATCTTATCGATTTATTAAAACAAAAATGTACTGATGATGCAAAGTTAACAAAATCTTCAAAACGTAAATAATCATCACCACCATTAGATGGAACCATAAACACATCCTCAACTACCACAGAATCAACAATGGCGGTTTTATCGAGTAATTCATCAAACATTGTCACATCAAAATCTTTAAACTTATCACTCGATGAACATAAAACTTATATAAATAATACATTGAACAATTGGTGTAAAAATAATGAATCAAGACTTAATTTGTCAAATTTGTCCTTGATTGAAGGTCAACATTACTCTATTTCCATATTAAATGATGCAAGTGGTGCATTAAAAGCTAATATAAAATGTTGTTGTAACAAATGGATATCATTAACAAATAATCGTGGCAAATTTCAACTATCAAACTTTTACAGGCATTTACAAGATTTTCGTAATAATAATACATGTGATAAAATGAAAGAATTAATAAAAAATTGTAAGCTGATTTCATCAATAACTGCAGATAATCAACAATCTTTTACATGTTCAGATACTGTACCAGATCAAGAATCATCATCAGATAATCAACAATCATTTACATCATCAGATACTGCACCAGATCACGAATCATCATCAGATACTACACCAGATCACGAATCATCATCAAATGCGATATTACTTAATTCTACGTCTACCTCTATAACAACCGATGATCATGAAAGTCTTGAACAACCTTCGCCATTATTAAAAAGTAAAAGTAGAGCGAAAAGGAAGCTTCATTCAGTAGAATCATCTTATAATACGAAAGAAGTTGTAAAAAGAACGAGAAGACAATAATATTTACCTTAGGAACATTTTCCTGCTTATACTTCTCGTTTTACTTCTTTCATAGTATATCATACAGTATACTCTTCTTATGAAGCTGGATTTTTTTAACTTTACAATTTCCTTATTATTTTTAAAAATTTGTCATTCGTTAATTGTTTTCATATTTATATTTTTTTCATATTTTTACACTTTATCAGACGCTATGAAGCATTTACAAAAGATTGTGATGGTAAAAAAAAGGAAATTTTTAATCGACAGTTAATGCATAGTCTGTTTTTTATTTCCGATAGCTGAAGGCAATAAGCAGCAGATTTTATCATAGCTTGGATTGCTGGACTTCAGACAAGACTGGAGTCCATTGGAGTCCAATG